CACGGCTCTCCGAAGTCCAAACTCAGTTTTCTATGTTTTCATCAAAAATTGAAGGTACGTAACAGTTTTTATCTCTCTAAATTACTGTTTAGGATTTGGATTTAGCTAACTACGGTTTGATTTGCTGAATTTTGTGTTTTTTTTACAAAATTATTTTTGTTGCTCCGGTTGAAAATTGCTGGCTAGGTTGATATCAACAGAATAATTGACTCATAATTGTTCATTTTCGAAGCTCCAAAAACACTACGTTTGAGGATTTGAAATGAACTAGCTACAATTTGATCTACTGATTTTGGTGGATATTTTGTTTTTTATCTATCTGTATTAGTACGTACTATTTAGGATTTGGATTTAGCTAAACTAGAATTTGATACCTGATTTTTGTGTTTTTTCTTGCTCCTGTTAAAAATTGCTGGCCAGGTTGAAAACAATGGAATAAATGATTCGAGTGCAATTCTAAACTCATAATTGTTCGTTTTCGAAGGTTCAAAAGCTATGTTTGAGGATTTGAATTGAGCTGGCTACAATTTGATTTTCTGGTTTTGGAGGATATTTTGTTTTTGTTTTTGCTAAAAATTGCTGGCCATGTTGATCACAGTGCAGAACTTAATTAAGTTTTAAGTGATTAAGCTGCAAAAAGTTGCTAGTCATGCTGATGAGTAGTATAGAGATTAATTAAGTTTGAAGTGATTAAAGCTGATGTAGGAGTTTGAAGTGATTAAATCTGAATATGAGATGGAGGTTTTATTTTAGAGATGTAAAAATATGACACTTGGGCCTAACTCAACCCCAAAAGTTAGCTTATGAGTGGAGGATTGCTCAAGTCCATATAAGCAGACCACCAGCTCATTCCCCAACCAATATGAGACTTTAACCCAATCTAACAAGAGCAAATTGGAAAACAGTGATACCATTGGTCAGAACGGGAGCCTTGGCGCAACTGGTAAAGCTGCTGCCATGTGACCGGAAGGTCACGGTTTTGAGATGTGGAAACAATTTCTTGTGGAAATGTAGGATAAGGTTGGGTACAATAGACCCTTGTGGTCTGGCCCTTCCCCAGACCACGCATAGCGGAAGCTTAGTGCACTGGCCTACCTTTTTTTTTGATATCATTGGTCAAGAATTTTGATTTTTGGTACGTTAGCTTAGAATACAACAACATACCCAGTGTAATCCCACAAATGGGGTCCGGAAAGCGTAGGATGTATGCATACCTTACTCCTACCTTTGTGGGACAGAGTGGTTGTTCCCAATAGACCTCGGCTCAAAAGAAATGTTGTCGAAGCAGGATTGCAAGAGTATGTTAGCTTAGAATACTTAAAATTTTAAAATATGCACGTGCTCACTATTTTTTTGATGGGAAAAAGCTTAAATGTGTTACATTTTGCTGAGTCTTTTTAGGGTTTAAAACCGTATTTACTTTTACTAAATCGTTTTTAGATGGAACATAACCCATCAAATGACTCAAGTGCAATCTCCTCTCTGTTTTAATTCCCTGGTTACCTCAATACAACAGAGTCATCAGCTTTCTTTGTACTTCAATTACTGTTCTACTTTTAAAAATGTTTTCAGAAATATAAGTTTGATGACACTTGAATGTACTTATTTTGGTCTTGCTGATTTGGGTGATTTTCCAATTCACATGGATTTTATAGTAAATTGATATGCATATAAATTTGTAGGATGTGATACATATATGTATAGTAGTTTATGTATATATGTGTTTTTATGCAATTTCTTTCTTTTTGGGTACCAAGAATGTTGAATTTTAGCTAATTGTTTCCTTCGTACTTAATAAAAAAAAACTTAATACATTAACTGTGGAATGCCTAAATTTCCAATGGTCGACATGAGTTGTAGGCCATATATTTGGTTATGAAATGTGTTTCTTTTAAAATTGGTGTGATACATCAATCCTAAACTAGTTGGTGTTAGTTATATGGTTCCTCGATATCCATTTTGCTCCATTTGGTCCTGTTTATTCCACTTCTCATTTTTTCAAAAAAAAAAGAAGAAGGAGAAATGATAACTTTTCCTTTGATATCTCACAACTGTGAATATTTTCACTTGTCACAGAAAAATTGGGGATGGTTAACATGTAATTCTAATGTCAAGAGACACTATGGTCAAGTAAGGAACCTACTAAAGTATAGATTGAAATGAATTGCAGCTGCTTTGGTGCCTCAACTCAGCGGCAGAAAAGGGGTGTTGATCTTGTTCATCAAGATACTGCAGGTTGGTGCATAGTTGAATCTTGGATATTAGCTGATCAGTTGTGTTCTCAGTTGAATGAACTTTTTAGTTGTTTGATGAATTTGTCACAACTTTATATTGCCTTCAGTGTTAACCCTTATATTCTTCTATAGCTGGTTGATCTGTATGTGGCATTTTGTTTTATCATGATTGTCGCAGCACTCTGTAGCTGTAAATCACTCCAATTCATTTTCTCTCTTTCCTTATCTAGTTATCTAATTATCCCTTAGACTGATGTAATCACAGGGCTTATGCAGAAATGCACTCAAGATTATTTGGTTGTCTTCTCCCTTGCTCTTTTATTTGGCCCTCTCTGAATATCTTTGAGCTGCCTTAACATATTTGCAATTCTGAAACTTCTTACATCCATTTTGTGGATACAAGTTCTTTAACACTTCCAGCTCACTAATCAGTAATCATTGCTTCTAAACAATATCTCGTTTATTACAATATTTGAAAGTTGGTCATCTTTCATTTCCTTTCCCAATTGAAGAAACTCATGATGTGTAATTGTTGAGTTGTCCACGTCAGTTGTGGGGTGTGGATTTGATCTCTTTGTATGGTCCTGGACAATCCTCGCTTTATGATGTAAAGATATGACACTTGGACCTCTCAACCTCAAAAGCTAGCTCACGAGGGGAGGTTTGTTCAAGTTCATATAAGGAGACCAAATTTCCATCCCTCTGCCGATGTGGGACATCTTAACACTCCCCCACACACCCAGACCTCAACTGGAGAGTGAACACTTCTAAATGGGGGCCCATCATCGGTGAACAACAACTTGGGATGAGCCTGGCTCTGATACCATGTAAAGATATGATACCATGTAAAGATATGACACCTGAGCCTAACTCAACCTCAAAAGCTAGTTCATGAGGGGAGGTTTGTCCAAGTCCATATAAGGAGACCAAATTCCCATCCCTCTACCAATGTGGGACATCTTAACAATGAGTTAATTTGTTGGGGTTGAGTTAGGTCCAAGGTCCATTGCTTATCATGGTATCTGTGACAAATCCATCTTAATTCTTGGTTTAACCCGGTATTGGACCCCCATATTATGTTGTCTATACTCCAGTTGATAGGCCCCTGAGCGGGGTGGGGGAAGGGGGTGTTGAGTTTTTCCATGTCTGTTGTGGATTTGGTCTCTTATATTTTTCTAGGTGAATCCTCACCTCCTGATCTAGCTTTTGTATTTGAGTTGGGTCTGAAATCCATTTCTTATCAGTAACGAATGGAGCGGTTTGTACACTAAAAGAAACCTATTTATTGGTCAGTTGTTTGTGAATCATTAGAAATAAAACCTTCTCTATGTTTGGCCCTCGGGATTGTGGCTTAGTGGTAAGAGTGTCGCAAGTGATGTTTGGGTTAGACGCACATCACGAGTTCGAATTTTGCTGCGAACAAGAACCTGGTATCTAAGTGAAAGGTAGAGGGTCGTGTCCATTATTTACCGAGTTTCAAACTGTATATGCCAGCTGGCCCTCAGAGTTTTCATGGTTATATTAAAGAAAACATTTTCTATGTCTACAAAATATGCTACAACCATGTCAAAATGGACATTGCTTTTGCTATTCTTAGTGCCCAAGAGAAGTGAAGCAGACTGACAGATTATTTAGATAGAAATAAATTAAAAGATAATATATTATAGGGAAAAGGCTTAAAAATGCCCTTAACCTATTAGAAATGGTTCAAAAATGCCCTCCTTCCACCTATTGATTTAAAAATTCCCTTAACGTTTTCTTTAGGTTCAAAAATGCCCTTTAGCTAACAGAAATATGACATGGAATTTAACTAAACAAATGGCCAATTTTCATTGGTCAACAAAATTATTTTATCAAATAAAAAAACCTCACCCAAACCCGTTTTTCAACTGGCACTTCATGTGACCTCTGTTCCTTTCTTCTTCCTCTGTTCTTTCTTCATCCTCTTTTCTTTCTTTAAAAAGCAACAGCTTTCATCCCCAAAGTAGCTAAGTTGCATCAATTAACTTGATAAAAAAATAGCTAAATTGCAGCTTTTAAGCCCAAAAAAGAGTAACTTTCAACCCAACAAACAACAATTAAAATGAAAGCTTGAAACCCAAAAAATAACAGCTAAATGTAGATTGTAAACCCCAAAACAGCATTTTAACCCAATAAATAGCAACTAAAATGCATAGTAATATTAATCACCGATGCCGCAAGGTGGGAACTAACGTACAATATTCATTCGCATCCACATTGTGAAATGATTTACAATCAATCTTCAATAACTATTACACGATTAACCTTGACTAAGAAACTAATCTTTTATACATTAAATAGGAAGAAAGAAAACACAAATTAAATAAAAAGGGTAGATGAGGAAAAGGGGAAGGGTTAGATTAATTTGAAATGGGTTTGGGTGGGTTTTTTTTATATTTGATAAAATAATTATGTTGACCAATGAAAATTGGCCATTTGTTTAGTTAAATTCCATGTCATATTTCTGTTAGCTAAAGGGCATTTTTGAACCTAAAGAAAACGTTAAGGGCATCTTTAAACCAATAAGTGGAAGGAGGGCATTTTTGAACCATTTCGAATAGTTTGAGGGCATTTTTGAACCTTTTCCCTATATTATAACCAGACATAGTAAATCTAGTAATATAAGTACGCAAGAATAATTAGAAGCTGAAGTGGGAATTGATATTAGTGAATGCATGTGCAAGGTGAAATTAAATGGGAAGCCAAAAGGAAAGACAAAACTTAAAATATGATATGAAATAGTAATTTTATCAAGCAATCTACCGTTAGTTACTTCAGATATGAACTGCTAATTTTGTTGAAGAAAGAAGAAGGCATTTCTAAGAGAGGTATATCTCAAGTACAGAAGGTAAATGCCTCTGCTCGAAAAAAAATGTCTGTATGGAGAATGGCCTTTTGGGTTGCTCTGAGTGTCTTACTAGGCTGGTCACACGTAAAAACAAAGTGGCTCCCAGAACCTCAAATATGGATGAAGAATGAGGATCTGGTTTGGAAATCTGTGATTAGGAGCAAATCTAATATAATACTAGTGTATATATGTAAGCTATATAGATGATGACATGTTCCAGAAGCAGTTGACATTTTGATCTTGATCCAAGGGGTCCATTTGTACTTTGCCTTTGATTCCAAATGTAAAGAAAAAAGTCCTTCAATCAATTACACTTCAATCTGATTAGTTGGGGTTGACTATGTGACCAATCTGTCCAGTATTTAGAGAATTCATATTATAATTAGACTGTTTTTTACGTTGGCCGTCAAGTGATTGCACCCTTCTCCGTCATCCAGCTTGGACAAGGAGTGCTTTGCAAAGCTCACATAAAAGGACTTGCTCCAAATTTGCTCCGGAATCTGGAAAAATGGAAATTCTCTTACACTAACTAATGTGGTAGGTGTAATCATCGAATAGTATCACAAGGAGCGAGAAGAAGAACTTTGAGTATTCCACTAACTAGCTTGCACAGATATCTGTCTCAGATCATCTTATAAATGGTAAGGATAAAAGGATTGATCAAGTAGCACCAGTATTACTTGTTTTGATTAAAAAAAAAAGTTTACTGTACCAAGTGATGTGTAAAAAGTTATACAGAGGCCATGCATCAATTTTCACAGTTAAAGGATGAAAAAGTTCCATCTAGTGGTTGTTTCCGGGGCCACCATGAAAATTTGGTGAAGATGCAATGTCTTACACTCTATTCTTGGTCAAAGATTTGATGCCTTACATTTTGTTGCTTAAGATATACTTCTATCCATCTCTTATCTGCAACAACTGTAATCTTTACCTTCTTTTTCATGGACACACTAATATTTTTTCTGTCAGGCTGCTCCACTGCAAAGACAAAGAATATTTCATACAGTGAATTACGAAGAGCAACCAACAACTTCCATCAAAGTAATAAAATAGGGCGAGGAGGTTTTGGAATAGTATACAAGGTTCAACTCTATCCTATAAATACTTCTCCCCATTTATATGCCTGAGCTTTATTGCATGGACAACTTCCATTTGCATGCGACTCGCATGGCGCTATTCACAGAATTACATTGCCAAAACCTTTAGATGTTTATCTGCAGTTCTCCAAAATTTTGTATTCCAAACTTGTTACTACTTACGATGTGATTAGCTTTTCATATTTTCTGCCTCTTAAAGAAAGTTGTTTCAGAAACATTTTAGGTCCTGCAGCTGCCAGTGTCAGTTCATGGTTTTTGCATATACATAATATGACATCAAGACTTCTAGTGAACAAAGTCCTTGGACTTAATTCTTATGGTGCATTGCCATGTTTGTTGAATGATGATTCAACTTTAGTGCAACTTTGTAGGGAACTCTAAGAAATGGAATGGAAGTTGCTGTGAAGACGCTTTCTGCTGAATCGAGACAGGGGTTGCGTGAATTTTTGACAGAGATTGAAACTATATCAGATATCAGACACCCCAATCTGGTTGAGTTGATTGGATACTGTCTTGATGGAACTAACCGGATCTTGGTCTATGAATATTTAGAAAATAAGAGCCTTGATCGAGCACTGTTTGGTAAATTTGCTTGGAATCAAAGAAGTACTTCACCATCTATGAATGGGGTACTGAAAATGGTGCTTGCTTTGCAGGTTCCAGTACAAGTAATGTCAAATTAGACTGGGACACAAGGGCTGCTATTTGCTTGGGTACCGGTACTGGTCTTGCTTTTCTACATGAAGAATTAGTGCCACATATAGTGCACAGGGACATCAAAGCTAGTAATATACTACTTGATAAGGATTATAAACCAAAAATTGGAGATTTTGGACTGGCAAAGCTTTTTCCAGATAATATCACTCACATCACCACACAGATAAAAGGAACCACGTATGTCTCCTGAATTTCTTGCTGAAGCTTCAATGTTTTCCATGGCTATACTTGATATCACCATTCATCCGTGAGTTCGGTGAGCGTGAGTGTTGATTATTTTAGAGGTTGGGTATCGTTATAAATCTTTTATATACACCTTTTAAATAAGTAGAAGGTACTTTTTCACCAGGTGTGTTTGGAACGAAGGAAAATATTTTCCATGGAGAACTCTCTTTGAAAATAAGTGTTTTTTTTATTTATTTTTGGTGTTTTGTAAGTATGCAGAAAATAGTCTCAAAGCATTTATTATAATGTAGGCAAACACTATGTGAGTGGGGGTGGTGGAGGTTGGGGGCTATTGGTGGCAGGGGTGGAATGGGGTGTGTTAAGAGGATGGGAAGGAGTGGAAAGTCACTCAGGAAAATTGTTTTCCCTACTCCATTAGAGTAGTCATTTTTCTCATTTTTAAATAACTTGTTTTACTGGGGAAAATATTTTCTAAACATTTTGACCAACCAAACATGGGAAAATTGGAGAACTGTCTTGCCATATCTATATTGATCTTCTTCTTTTTTAAGAACTGTCTTATCTGAACTGTGTTTACTCATATTTTACCTCTTCCGGTGGTAAAAAATTAAGAACAAATGTTCCTCATAGCACCTTGCTACCCCTTACCTGATATATATGTGTATTGGTCGTATGAATTCATCGTCTTTCCCCTATTCTTGTATGTATATTGTGTCAACTAAGAAATGTACTGGATTCTATAATCTGCCTCGAACTACTGAAGTTCTGAATGTTTGGTGTTAGAGTACCCAGGTCTCCTGCTTTAAATTTAGAAATAGTGTCATGGGGTAACTGAAAGCAGTAACTTACTTCTATATCTTTTTCTTTTCCGAACAGTGGCTATCTGGCACCTGAATATGTAATGGGCCGTCAATTAACATCCAAGGCTGATGTTTACAGTTTTGGGGTCCTATTACTTGAAACAGTAAGTGGTAGGAGTAGTGGCAGTGGTACATGGCAAGGGCAGAAGTCACTCCTAGAATCGGTGGGTATAATTTTCAAATACCGTAATTTCTTTCTAGATATGCATTCTGTTTCTCAATAACATCAATAGTCTATAGCATGATTTGTTTACTTGCATTTGCTACTATTATTTTCATATACTGATTATTGTTATTTAAAATATGAAAATTGCTAGGCATGTCAAGATGTTATTCTTTAGATAATAGGGGTGAATCTATCTATGATAAGTATATATTAATCAGAAAATTAAATCTGCCTCAGTCTCAAACTAATTTGGATGGTTATTGAATATTGAATTACCCATCATGCTCTATTTGGGGGACATTTCTTGCCAATACTATAAATAAATTGTCTTGGAAAAATCTCCAGTTAGTGAGTGTATGATTAATCTTTACTTTTCCTAGAGTTGTGCAAAGTTAACAGTTGTTGGAGTTTTACCAAAATCAATACGATTTTAGCTATAACAGAAGATGTTGGAAGCAAAGAATCTACATAGACAAATACCAACTAGTCTGAATTAAGGTTTAGTCACTGTTATTACACTTATATTAGGTTCCTTGTATTAAAATTACTCTAACATTAGGTCCATAGTTTACCAGTAGCTTCTTAGTCTTTGGTCTCGTTAGAGGTTTGTCCATTAAAGTAGGAATAGCTGTGAGATTCAGAGAACCTCTAATTTACTAGTAGTGGAATGAAATGAGCACAAATATGGAATGGAAATGGAGAATTCATACACTTGACTCTAAGGTATAGTTGTTTGGAGTCTCGAATAAAAATGTGTGCTTGATGAGATTTAGATTCAGAGTGACGAAAAAAAAAACATGAACAAGACAATTTGAACCTGCTTCACCAATTTGGGATAAAGGCACCAAGAATGCAAACGGAAAATGCTGTTACAAAGTTGAGCTGATCCAACAAGGTATTCATTGGTAAAAATGCTACTTACAGCTATAGGAGATTGTGCCGACTATCAAGGATTCATGTTACTCCAGGATGGAGGATCTAAAGCCCAATTGTCCAAGTTATTGTACCAAATAGGTGCTGTATCTTCATGTGATTGCTCAGAAATGTGGTCTTTATTTCATTCTTGGATTTTGGTTTAGGGGGTGAGTGGGTGCGTCGTCAAGGAAGGCTACAGAGAGGCGTTTCTAAAGTTAGTTTTTCTTGTATGAATTTCTACGTGGTCTTTCTTTCATTCTTGGATTTTGGTTTAGGGGGGGAGTGAGTGGGTGTGTCGTTAAGGAAGGCTACAGAGAGGCGTTTCTGAAGTTAATTTTCTTGTATGAATTTCTATCTGTTTGCTTCTAGATATCCTCCCTTTGATTCGCTTATACTGCTATAGTATAATATTTGTACTGCTCACATCATAGTAGTAGTGTAAAGGCCGTAAGCCGGGAGGCAGCCATATAGTTGTCTTGACAATCATTTACTGGTCATACAAATAGACGAAGAGTAAGCAGCAACAACAACAACAACAACATACCCAGTGTAGTCCCACACAAGTAGGGTCTGGGGAGGGTAGAGTGTGCGCTGACCTTACCCCTACCTCAGAGGTAGAGAGGTTGTTTTCGATAAACCCTCACCTCAAGGTAGACGAAGAGTAAGCTACACCAAGAAATGTGAGAATACATGTGATTTTGCTAGTTGAATCTTGCAGTTTTCAGGCTAAATAGTGAGGAAACTTTTCAAGGTTACAACAAAATACAATCTGTTACTTATCCTTTTTGTCTTCTCGCGAATTTATGTATCTGCACCTGGAAATACAGTATCCGACGTTCTTCTAACTGCCAAAGGTTTTTGTTATCCAATGACAAATCAAATTACAATTTACTGCATCAGGCATGGGAGTTCTACGAAGAGGGAAAGCTGTTAGAGTTGGTCGATCCAGAAATGGGCGATTTTCCAGAAAAAGAGGTCCTCAAGTACATTAAGGTAGCTCTCTTTTGCACACAAGAAAAGGCAAATCGAAGACCGATAATGAGCCAGGTTCTCGACATGCTCACAAGAAACATCAAGCTAAACGAGGAAGAACTCACACCACCAGGATTTTTCCAAGATTCGGGTGGTTTCAGTAGCACACAACTAAAACTGAAGTCATCTGAAAGCAGCACAAGTCATCAAATGAGTTCTGTTCCCCTTACAATCACTCAGGTGACACCTAGATAATCAATTACTCTTTGTGAATGGCAATTGAATTTATTTAGGAAGAAATTATTATTACCCCGCGGGGCTTTGGTCAGTGATAAAGGATGCAACACGTGATATGTGGATTAAGTGCACTTCATGAGTATGATCGTGCAGCAAATGAAGTCTAGTATGTAAGTCCGAAAGAGGATATTTGGAAGGTCCATACACCCCGGAGTTTCGAATGTGTGCACCAACTAGAGTTGTGGCAGAAGCTAGAAGCCCTAGGAAATTCTTTCGTATCAATGAAAGAAATCATTTTCACTTAAATAATACTCGATTTTTCTTTCTGATTATTTGGTTTTGTCCTTAAAGGAGTTCGTGTTTTTATCAATCTAAACAGTCTCTTCTCTTGTATGCATAGAATGAGAAGACAAGTCAAATTGTATAATCTTTATTTTTAAATTTTTATTTTACTTCTTTTTTCCCTTCAGTCTAGGGTCTATTTAAACGGCCTCTCTACAGGTAAGGTCTGCATATGCTTTACTTTTTCTTTCTGATGTATTTCTCGTCTTCGTATGTGATACTACTTTACAATGAGTGATATACAAAAATGATTTTAGAAGGGAGTAATCTTGAACTTTTTACCTCACTTGTCCTATGGATAAAACCTTCCAAGTTTAACAATTTTTTTACTTTTGGTCTTGGATTTGCTCATGTGTCAAGCGGGTTCATTCCAATTTATGTGATATAATTTACGGAAAAGGGTCAAAATTGCCCCTGAACTATGCGAAATAGATCACTTATACCCTTCATTACATTTTGGGATAAAAATACCCCCGCAGTTATCCCAGGAGACCACAAATACCCTCAAGAGTTAATACCCCAATTTTTTAGTGACGTGGCAAGCCACATGGGACTAATCCCTCCACCTAAGCATTGCCAACTAAGATTCATTACAAAAGAACTTGACTTTTAGTGGCGACAAAGTCGCCACAAAATCTCAAAATATTGCCAATAAAGGTTATGAGTGATTTTTAGTGGCGACTAACGCTCCAACAACCATTCGCTAGTAAAACCTATTTTTTCAACAAAAAAAATATGATAATTAATTTTCGATTGAGATCTAATTTTCTAAAATAAATAACTTGCAATATCAATATTAAAAACATACAATATTATTACGAAAAATCATCAAAATTACTTCTCGATTCAAATCTCCTACTATATATATATAATGCATCATTGTACATTTTATACATTTACATATGACATAAAAATAAAACATATAGTGTCTTCAAACTCCTACTTAACTGATATCATAGTTGGTTTTTTAAAAACAATGAAGAAAAAAACACAAAATTAGAATTTAATGTTAAAAACTTTTAGTGACGATTTTCTGGGCTTTTGTGGCGACTGTTGTTGCCGCTAAAGGTCTAGTTCTTTTGTAGTGAATCCTAGTTGGCAACGCTTAGGTGGAAGGATTAGTCCCACGTGGCTTGCCACGTCAACAAAAATTTGGGGTGTTAACTCTTGAGGGTATTTGTGGTCTCTTAGGATAACAACAGGGGCATTTTTGATCCCAAAATGTAACGAAGGGTATAAATGGTCTATTTCATATAGTTCAAGGGCAATTTTGACCCTTTTCCGTATAATTTAAAATCTTCGGAAAAACAAACTTTTAAACATGTGATCATCCCATAGCATTTACCTTTTTAAACTTGTGGTCTAGAATCTACTCCATTATTAAGAGCGAAATGAAATATTTAAAGGTAAAGTACTAAATACAAAGATGTATCAATCATTTTGAGACGGATTGAAAAAAGAAAATGATGTCAAACAATTTGGGAAAGAAGGAATAGTTTTAGAGCCTCTGTAACACACATAAAATGATACAAAATGGAGCCTCTAGGTCAGCCACAGAACCCACAAAGATAAAGAAAGTTAAAAGATTATCAACATTAGAGAGAAAAGCTTTCTATGAACATGAAAATCGTCTCGACTGCGATTACAAATAAAAGATTTTGATGTTTAGAATAACAAAATGCAGCTGCATTCGCCTCGAATCAACGGAATGTTAGCAAGGCACAGAATATGGAGTATCCAAAATGGATGTTTTCTTGTCCCTCAAGAGAATAAAGAAACCTCTGCAGTAGCAGCAGGTTCTAATGTCTGAGTAATTGCCTGAGCAACACTGGATTCACTAGCAGGTACGCTGTCTCCGGTAGCAGGTGCAGTTCCCTCAGTTGCTGCATCCTTAGTGTTCTTGGCATCTTTTCCATCCTTACCAGCTTTGTCATCCTTGACAGGTGCGGGTGGTGGTGGTAGCATATGAGGTGGTGGGTTGTGCTTAAGCTTCACCAAGATGTGACGCATCCTTGAAAGATCGGTGGGTTTTCCAGGTTTGGGTCCTTGGACAACTGTGACAGATGGCTTCTTCTCTTGATCCTTCTTCCTTCCTTTCTTCTCAATATTCGGAACCTCATTAGGAACGAGCTCCGCTATGGCTTTCCAATACTGTTTGTCAGCTTCTTTGTGGAACTTTTCTTGATTAGTTACATACACCTGTTTCAACAGGAAATAAAAGAAAAGGAAAAACAAAACAAAATTTAGAGATATGGGAACATTGTAAGAGTGAATAGGGTGGAATTGACAGCTCCCCGAAAAAAAACTTACATTCTCTTTGTCTCGGTTGTTAGTCTTATTGGTCTCAATATTGAGCTTTCTTTTCTCATAGAATGCTTTCTTATGCTCTTCGCCTTCCTCAATAATTTGGTTTCTGATTTCTTTTTCCCTTTTCTCATTCTCCTCAAGACGGACAGCATTTTGCCTGCATCCCCCAAAACACAAATTATAACGAATCTAATAAGGAAAATAGTATTCAGGGTACCATTTCTGTTTTCACGACAAATATTAACTGTTATCAATTATCGGAACAGAAAAAGGAGAAACTGATTTGAATCCAGCCAAAAGCATCAATGGACTCTGATACCTATCACACATCGACCTCACCCTCCACGCTACTTCTTCCTTTTTATCTTTTAAAATTATTCTAAAAGATCAAGAAGGGAAGCACCTTTTGCATAACCAATTGACGATGATCCAAAGTAAGTCCACGTATGCCTCTGACTTTATCATATGAACAAGATCAACATTAATGACTTGTTATTCTCCTTTACCAAAATGGAATAACCTATACTGCCAACTGTTTTCATTTTTCCCGCACTTCTAATTATCCTTTAAATTGGCAATGAGTCGATTCCAATACAACAAAAATATCCAGCAAATGAAAGGATAAAAGAAATCATTTGACCCTAGGGAATTCAACAAATTACCGAAGTTTTAGATCTAAAGGTGGTAAGGGAAGAATAACACAAAAGAAACCATATACTACAAACGTTATTATTGCTCCAATAACTATACCGGCTATCCAATTTCAGGTTACTATGCTTCTTATGAGTCAAACCTACATTCTTTGACTGCGATATTATAAACATTTCACAATTGATTGAAAAATCAAACTGTCCAATAGAGTTCCTTTAAACTAATCTTCTATTGTATTGATTCTATTTCTAAAATGCTGATAATCATCATCAGATTTCAAGCTAAAAATCATCAACTTTCAAATACCACAGTTCTTTCATTTGTGTTCTACTATTAGTTAACTAGTTAAATGGATCACAGTCAAAGACAACCAAGATGCTTGCCCATTTAGAGTCTCCACTAGTTTATGATTAATATGTACTATATCATCTATATCACAAATAGATCTTCTCGAAGTAAAATAGTATTGTGTTCTTAAAGCAACAGTAACTATATCATCTATAACAGAAAATACTCAAAATAACAAACTGATTCTCCTGCAAACAATGACTAGCAAGATAAGTCCAATGTGTTTGGGATTTGGCATTTGACATTTGGTTCAGTGGTTGCCAACTTCACTTGCTCTAGAGCAGGCAAAGTCCAATTCCTACAGAAAATCTCCTTCCCACTACCCCGAATCAACATCCTGGTCATGGCACTCAAAAAAAAAAAGGAAACAAGAGATCTAGCTAATGTTCATGAAATACCAACAAAAAAAGTTAGACCAGTAAAAGATTAAATTTTTTCACTTCTCATTCTTGTTTTTGCAAGGCTATCAAATGAAAGCTTTAATCCTCACTAAAAACACCAATTAACTAAAGAAGAATAGTAATAAAACTTGCAGATCTACTAGGGTCCGACATCAGATCTGCTAAGTAATTAAAAGAAGTGGTCAATCAAATCACAGTTGTGACGACTGATTAGTCCAAGCAACTAAGACTTACCAACCAAAATAAAGCCTGATCTTATTGATATTATTGTCAATTATAGCAAATTACTAAATATCAACAGATCTATCAATTAAATTTATATCTAAGGGAAGCATATGCAGAACAGGATCCAAATTGCATAAATTTATTTTAACAAGAGAATACACAATAGTATTTAACAGATATTATATCAACGACTCATATAGTTGACTCTAGCTAGTTGGGGATCAAGTAGTAGTTTTATTGTAGTAATAAGCAAAATTCAAATTCGAGAAACAAAAGCAAAGCTAACCTTCTCCATTCGCGTAGAGCTAAACCTTCCTCTCTCATTTCACTAGGAGGAGGAAGTACCGGTCCATCGGAGCTGAAAATTCCTTCAGAATCTTCACCGAAATCGTAAGCCTTACCATTTCCATCAGCGATCGGAGCCTCAGAGTCATCAAAAGGAGTTGATTGACCCGACCCGAACCCGTAGGGATCGGGATTGTTGACTGTGTGAGAAACGTGATCTACTGTAACTTCCTCATAAACCGGCGTGTCGGCGGCGGAGTAGTTGCCGTCGTGGAAGGAAGGACTTGCCGCCGTCGCCACAGAGTCATCGCCGTCCATGCTGAACGAATCGAACGAAGCCATTTTCTTCTCTTCTGTGCTTTCTCTCTGTTGTATTGATATTTTGGATCCCTCTTTATATACTTGTCCTCAAGAGCTTAAAAAGAGAGAAGAAGAAAATAATACTAAATCCATTTTAAGTCTTTCACCGAATCTCAATTGAGAATTTAAATTTTATAATTTTTTATTATTCTCTAACTAGTAAAATTATTTGTGCCTCGAGCGGAAATTTAATATGACGAAATTTATAAAATAATACTAATTAAAATTTATCGGTCATTAAAACTAAAATACTATATTATCTTACATACAAGATTACGTAGTAACGAACATTAATAATTTATTCTTTTGCTTCCAAGAAGTGTTACTATTTGATATTTTTGGGGAATCAAATGAACATCAACTTGAGATATTTAATTTTCTAATAAATAAATAATAGTTGGTGATTTTAAAAGGCTGAAAAAAGTGAACAAATATTCTAATTTTAACGTGTAGAAAGTTCAACCCTACTTTTTGCTGTACATATATCATTTTAAAGTTCCCTATTTAAATGTATCATAAGAAATTATTAAAATGAAAAATTAAAGGAAGA